AGAGCCTGGTCGGCCCCCCAGCACCCAGATTTCGCCGGAATTCAAGCGTCTCCGGCCGACAATGCATGACAATAAAGTAGTCTTCCCGCAACCACTCGCACCAAGTAATCCATAACTGAATAATAAAACGTTTATTAGAATCATAACAATATCATAAAACAAAAATTATTACATAAAATTTTTCTACGTTTCATATATATATATATATATATATATTTTATAATGTGATAAAAATATTTATTTTAGATATATATTAGGAGAATTGGGATATACCAAGGAAGCATGTGAACAAGTAAGTTATTACAACTATCTTTAAAAAGTATAATTGTCTAGGAATTTGTATTATTTTGATATTGCAATATTTTTAACATGTTTTGTGTATATTATCACTTATTAATTATCATTATTATATATAAGATTCCAGAAAACAATGCCATTATTGGGTTTTGTGAGGGACTGGTACATGCATGGGAATTATACAATAATACAGAGTAAGTTGAATAATATAAAACAGATTTTTTATTCTAGAGAAATCCTATATTTACATAAATAAAATTTATGAACAAAAATGTTCTCTGTATTCTAGAGCTATTATATTGTTTATTGTTGAGGATGTGACTTATAATATATGTGATCAAAGATTTCACGAATTTCAAATTCGTCAGTTATGTCCTAAGATAAAGATTATTAGAAGAAGTTTAACAAGCTTAACATTGGAGGAAGTAAAACTGGGACCAAATAAGGAATTAATTGTGTAAGTTGTCACATACACACACATCTGAATTATAGTTTACATTTTTTAAATTGTATCAAAGTTTACATAAAATACATAAAATCTTTCGAGAAGAAAAAAGATAATATTTTTAAAAAGAATATAAAAAATGTTGAATAAAAAATATAAATATCTGAAATACTGCAAATCTGAATCATTGAATTATTTTAGTGCAAATATGATAGTGGCTGTAGTTTATTATCGTTCTGGTTATGAACTCGAAGCTTATCCTACAGAAAAGGAATGGGATATTAGATTGTTAATTGAACGTTCTCAAGCAATAAAATGTCCATCAGTACAATATCATTTAGCAGGCACTAAAAAAGTATGTATTTTATTTCAATCATTTGCATAGGCAAGAGTGTCAAGCACATACATAAAAAAACTTATTATTTACATAAAATGTTAATTATTTATATTAAATGTTATATTAAATTGTACTAAATGATATTAAGCATTAAATGTACATCCAAACAACAAAGATCAACTTATATTTATTATAACTGAAATAAGAATTTTGTAATAATATCAGAATAAAATAAAATATTTTTAAAATCATCTTGTTTTTAGGTACAACAATCTTTGACTCAATCCAGTGTATTGAAAAAATTTCTAAAAGATGAAACATCTGTTGCTAGAGTGCAAGAAATATTTACTGGATTATATACATTAGACTTTGTAAGTAACTTATTAATCGAAGCATTTCTTTAATATTTAGATGCAAATCATAACTTTTAACACAATTTTTCATTTAAATATGTTTAAATGATACGTTTAAATATATTTGTTTCAACAGAATAAGGATGGAGAAAAAGCAGTGGAAATGGGTATAAATAATCCAAACAAATTTGTTCTCAAACCACAAAGAGAAGGAGGAGGAAATAACATATATAATGAAGATATAAGGACATGGTTGAGTTCGATGAGAGACTCTCAGGAGAGGACGGCGTGGATTCTCATGGATCGCATTTTTCCCCCATTACAAAAGAACTATCTGATACGTGCCGTTGAAGAACCGTCAAAAGATAATTTTGATTTATCGGAGGTTGTAACAGAACTTGGCGTATATGGAGTGATAATAGGGTAAGCGCAAGCGGAGAGATATCTCGCATTTAATCATATTATTTGTTAATAAACAACATTAATATAATATTTTTTTAGGGATAGCAATAATATAATACTAAATAAACAAGTTGGACATATTTTAAGGACCAAATCGTCGAGCGAAGACGAAGGCGGCATAGTGGCAGGTATTGGTGCCCTTGATAGTCCCTATCTAATTAGTTGAAGTAAAATTACTTCTACAGAGAGTAATATATATATATTATAACAAATAATATAGACTATGTTATTTAAATGTGTGTATAGTATGTTAATTGCCTTCACATCACCCCTCCCCTCCATAATTATCTTCCTTATTGTCCACAGTATAACATACTGTAAACATATAAATATATAGTGTGTACAGATAGAGAAACATTTAATAACACCGAGCGGGTTCTAAATTGTACTTTCCAAACAGTTTCAGTCAGATTTGTTTATCTTTTTCCTTGAAATTGGATGCTTTCATTCATCTCGTGATGAATCAAAGATTCTTATTTTTATTGATAACTATAAAATACACGCGAGTGAATACATGAATCTTGTATAAATCAATTTCATGCAAATGATAAATAGAATTTTAGCTTCTTTTAAAAACTATTTTTAAATATTTAAGAATAATGGTTATTGTTGCATATTTTAGATAGAAATTAAGACAAAAATCAAATAAGTTTTTTTATAAACACACCCCGTTGATTAACAGCCGAGAGAAAGTAGTAAAGAATATATTTTTTTAAAATTATACTCTCTATTATAAAATAATGTGCTCATTATTTTATAAGATTCTAGAAAGTTATACACAAATATGTGGGTTATAAAATATTTGAATTACATAAGTAATGGACAATTTTGTTATTTATTACTTATATCAAAAAATAAATACATATGCATATCACGAACTGATTAAAATACATACTAAATTGGAAATATATTAATCATGTGCGTTCAGTCATGATCAAGAATTTCCGTCGAAAATGTTGTTTCCACTACTACGTTATATTTTTTCTGAAATGCGAATTACTACTTCAATAAAGTACTTGACATTAATCATCAGTAGACTTCGGATTATATGCACGGAAAATTTAAAAAATATGCGCATATATATGCACGGATTTTTGCAAAAACATGCAAAAATTTGTACAAATTTGCAAAGAATATGCAGATATATATTTATAATCTATAAATATTTATTTTTTATAATATTTCAAATCTGTAGGAATAAATGCAAAATGAAATAGAAAATAAAAGAAGCTTTAATCAAATAATATATATTTTACAAATACAAAATAAATAATCACGATATTCAAAAATATAAACTTTATTTGTACATATAAACTTATATTTAAACTAAACTTATATTTAAGAAAATTAAATGTAAATTAAATTTTTTATTGAGAGTTAAAACAATATATTATTAAATGTTTTTCAAAATTTTCCAAAAGAAATCTATGCCTTCTGTCTGAAAATAAATATTTAAAAATGGAAAAAGAACGTTCAACATCTACAGATGTTATCGGGGCATTTTTAAGTTTACTAATTAATTCAGGGATAAGAAAGTTAATGTCGTTATCATCATTAGCAATTAATTCGCCTTTCAAAATTCTGTTGACTTTAGTTAGTAGCTTGTAACCTACATTTTTTTCCAGAACGTCATTTAATTTTTTAAAAATTGTTGCACCAATTTTACCTTTAACATTTTTACATAAAATTTCGAACTCTTCGATTAATTCAATTGATTCTAACAAACTCATCCCTTCTTTTTCCAATTTCTCAATTATTTTTGCCACGAAACTGTAATTGCTTTTAATAAATCCAAGTTGTTGTTGAATTTCGGACTTCTTAAATAATTCTATGCAATTTTCAATTGCAAAGCTCGAATTCGTAAGAGCAAGAATAATATTCATTATAGGATTGTAATTATCTGCATAAAAAATAGCCGCCGTCAGCCATGTATCCCATCTTGTTATTATAGGTTCAGGAGGAAGTGGAGTATTGGGAAGTTGCTCTTTGTACAATTGAACCCGTAGAGAAGCTTTCAAAAAGGTTTTTTTTACGTTTTTAATCAAATCATTAATTAATGGAAATTGATTCCTAATTTCTTCAGCTACACGATTAAGATCGTGAGCTAAGCAACTGACGTGGATTAAATTTTCATAAAATATTTTTAAATTTTGGCCAGCTTTAATCATATATGGTGCGACATCTGACAATAACAGTAAAATTTTTTGAGAAGGCACATGCTCGAGTAAAAAAAATTCTGACAATCCGTCTTGAATGAAGCGAGTTATTGTTAAATTGTTTGTTTTTTCAAGCTGTTTTGACGATATTAAATATGACTTACTTACGTTATCTTCGCAAAGAGAACCTATCAATAAATGCGCAATATACCGACCACAACTATCGGTAGTTTCATCCACTATAAAATAAATATAATTGTTGCCTATAATCTGTCTGATTTTAGATATTGTTTCGGCATAACATGAATTTACAAATTTTTTTCGTAATGTACTTTCATCAGGAATATGTTGTTTACAATATTTTTTAAGAAATAATTGAAAATTTATATTGTTTAACTTATTTAAAGGAATATTTGAAGCGACTAGAGCTTGACATAAATCTTTGTTGAACACTTCTTGTTCGGCCAGTTTAGAATTATTTTTTAAGCATTGGCCTAAAGTTTGGTGAAGAGCAGTAGACTTTTTAAATTTTTCGCATTTTCCAATATGTGAAGGAGTCTTAGCGTGCTGATCTATTAAATATTTTCTGTCACGGGATATCTGAAGCAGCAATTTTAAAATAAAAATAATAATATTTCTTATTTGCAGAATTATTTTATGTCTTGTATATACAGTCAAAATTTCAAAATATATTTAATATTATATAAATAAGGCTAATATTGATTTATAATTTTAAATGATTAATATAATAAAATAATTACGTATAATTGCAGCAACAAAGAATTTATAATTAATTATTACAACAATTAAAAATGATAATTTAATAATAATTAAAATTTATACTTTTGAATCCTTTTTTACTATAGCTAAATAAAAACATTGTTTATTTTGTATTACTTACAATTTTACCGCATGCTCTGCAGAATACTTTATCTTTATCCAGTACAAGCTCTGGATATGGCTTAATCCATGTTAATATCTTATTGTTAGACATATTTATTTCGTCAATAATTTATCGAATAATTTATCGAATTTATAATTTCACCTACTTCACACGGAGTCTAACGGAAGAATGAATAGCTCCGAGTTTCAGCGTCAAGAACAGTTGAAAAAGAATTAAAAATGACGACACGGGAGACAATAGAAGGAGACAAATGATAAAAGAAACAAAAATGAGTTTGAGATTGGCGATATTTTTTTATTTTTACTGAGAAGCAGTAGAAACCCAATTTTTATTGCGTTCTAGAAACGTTTCTCTTAATTTTATATATCTTTTATTTAAAATGAATTTTAAACACGTAATATGATCTAGAATTTCATTTTTATATTACTTCATTAATTTTTCCGTTTTGGATAGATATTTTAAGCAAAAATTAGAGTTGTATTCAATTATATGCAATAAAATATGCAAAATTTATGTAAATATGCAAACTTTTTGAAAATATGCAAAGATTGAGTAAATATGCAAAATATGCAAAAATTAATTCACATTAATTAAATGTAAATATTATAATTTCTCCATATTATTAGAGCTCTTGTAAAATATGCAAAAAATAACAAATATGCGATTTGCATATAATCCGAAGTCTAGTAATAAATGTTTATTTAAAGTTTGACTCTGAACTCTTGGACTGACTGAGTGCATTCGAGATCTCAATTTGCGACGACAAGCGACAGTTAATTTACAATACGAGGATCAGCGAAGTTGCTGAATCGGGAATCGAATCCGAGTCTCTCGCTTGCCGAGCGATTGCTCTTACTACTGATTGTGAGCTATTTAGATTCCACACCGCCAATACTTCTCATTCGCCTTATGTTTAAATATCTATTACTAATAACGCCATATTTCAGTCGGCGTGAACTAATAATTTAAGGCCCGTATTCATGGTCGGTTCGTATATTTAAGACCGTTCTAAGTACAATCTTCAGATGTCATAAACCAATCACAGAGCATATTAGCATTTTAAGATATTACTTAAGACGATCTTGAAATAAGAACCGACTATGAATACCAGCCTAAGACATTAATTCACCCCGATATTTTTCTCGCCTTCACCTCTCCAACGGTTATTATAAATCTCGAATTGAGATTAATTTAATCTTGATATAGGACCAAGTAAATTTCGTGCCCTGTGTATATAATCAGTTTCATAGAAAACTTATTTTTCTATGAAACTGATACACTACCAGCCGCATCTGGCTCTTACTAGCCCGCGATTATTTAAATTGGTAATTTCACTTGAGAGCCTTAATTTCTAAAATTAATAATTAAACAATATTACTCTCTCTCTCTCTCCCCCCTCCCTCCCTTCCTTTCTCCCTTCCTCCCACCCTTTTTCCTTCCCTCCCCTCCCTCTCTCTCCCTCCCTCTCCCCTCCTCTCTCCCTCTCTCTATCTATTTATCCATCTATCTATCCATCTATCTATCCATCTATCTATCCATCTATCTATCCATCTATCTATCCATCTATCTATCCATCTATCTATCCATCTATCTATCCATCTATCTATCCATCTATCTATCCATCTATCTATCCATCTATCTATCCATCTATCTATCCATCTATCTATCCATCTATCTATCCATCTATCTATCCATCTATCTATCCATCTATCTATCCATCTATCTATCCATCTATCTATCCATCTATCTATCCATCTATCTATCCATCTATCTATCCATCTATCTATCCATCTATCTATCCATCTATCTATCCATCTATCTATCCATCTATCTATCCATCTATCTATCCATCTATCTATCCATCTATCTATCCATCTATCTATCCATCTATCTATCCATCTATCTATCCATCTATCTATCCATCTATCTATCCATCTATCTATCCATCTATCTATCCATCTATCTATCCATCTATCTATCCATCTATCTATCCATCTATCTATCCATCTATCTATCCATCTATCTATCCATCTATCTATCCATCTATCTATCCATCTATCTATCCATCTATCTATCCATCTATCTATCCATCTATCTATCCATCTATCTATCCATCTATCTATCCATCTATCTATCCATCTATCTATCCATCTATCTATCCATCTATCTATCCATCTATCTATCCATCTATCTATCCATCTATCTATCCATCTATCTATCCATCTATCTATCCATCTATCTATCCATCTATCTATCCATCTATCTATCCATCTATCTATCCATCTATCTATCCATCTATCTATCCATCTATCTATCCATCTATCTATCCATCTATCTATCCATCTATCTATCCATCTATCTATCCATCTATCTATCCATCTATCTATCCATCTATCTATCCATCTATCTATCCATCTATCTATCCATCTATCTATCCATCTATCTATCCATCTATCTATCCATCTATCTATCCATCTATCTATCCATCTATCTATCCATCTATCTATCCATCTATCTATCCATCTATCTATCCATCTATCTATCCATCTATCTATCCATCTATCTATCCATCTATCTATCCATCTATCTATCCATCTATCTATCCATCTATCTATCCATCTATCTATCCATCTATCTATCCATCTATCTATCCATCTATCTATCCATCTATCTATCCATCTATCTATCCATCTATCTATCCATCTATCTATCCATCTATCTATCCATCTATCTATCCATCTATCTATCCATCTATCTATCCATCTATCTATCCATCTATCTATCCATCTATCTATCCATCTATCTATCCATCTATCTATCCATCTATCTATCCATCTATCTATCCATCTATCTATCCATCTATCTATCCATCTATCTATCCATCTATCTATCCATCTATCTATCCATCTATCTATCCATCTATTAAGTACATATGTATGTATCAGGGAATAAGTCGACTGTACCATGCACACACACATGCAGGCAGCCACACGCGATCATATCAGTGCGTGGCAGATACTCAATCTCAGTCGCGCGTGTTGTGTACATATGCGTAACAAGAGATTACCGCAAAAGTACGCTCAACTGTTATAACGCGTTACAACGTGTTGAATTTAAAAAACGAGTGTTGTGTTTTTGCAGTGTGTCCACATAATGGGACGAAAATATAATTTTCGAGAGATGCTTGCCCCTTTTGCCCGCAGAGATCTTCAAATATAATTTAGAATGATTACTCTATACACATAAACATACACATTATATATGATGCACATAGTATTTAATACTCATATAGTATTTTTGTTATAAATAAATGGACAGATATGGGCAAAAAAAGAAAGAGGAAGAGAGAAAGAGCGAGGGAGAGAGAGAGAGAGAGCGAGCGAGAGAGAGAGAGAGAGAGAAAGAGAGAGAATAGGAATGAGTAAGCGAGGGAATGGCTGTAAAACGATATATCAATTGATAATTCACATCAGTCATTAAACATTAGTGTGCATAAAGTATTGCTACGGAGAAAAATATAACTATTTCCTTTTTTTCTTACTTTTGGCACTTGTACAGACACTTAGTCAGTTACACTCATATCTTTTTTTTCTCTTTGCCCATTCTTCTCTGTCCATCTCTTTCTTATCCGAGCATACTATATGTGTGTTATATATTATCTACATGTGTATATATGTTTGTGTATATGTAAATACCAGATGCGATTTGAATGTGTGCTCTGGTTATTAGAAAAATAACATTTTGTCCCAGAGGCGATTTTTATTCGTGTGCTGGTTGATTTAAAAAATATTTTATTCCAGAAGCGGTTTGCATGTGCGCCCTGGTTATTAAAAAAATATTTTATCCCAGAGGCGATTTTTATTCGTGTACTGGTTGCTATAAAAAATATTTCATATCATATGCGGTTTGTGCATGAATATTCTGGTTATTAAAAAACAGTTATTCCAGAAGAAATTTAAAGAAACTTCCGTTTTTGAAAGACAAAGTGTGCAATATCTGGTATTCCTTCATGTTGCTTTAACACCAATTACTTCAATCTTATTATAAAGAATAATACGCGCGGTAAATATGCCGATGAAGGGAGGCAGTCTCGATGACCTTGACCGTGACATATGTTGTCAAGGTCATGACCGTGAACAACATTCAAAAGATTTAAGCCGTCGCTCGTTTTTTATTAAAACGTTATTAACAAAATAAGTTTAACGATTTGAACGTAATTGTCTGACACCATGTACATAGCATAAATTTTAGTTTTAAATCAGAAATAGGTTTGGGTTAGGTTATATCTTCCGGAAGTGGAGCCCGCCCGCAGGAGGGCAGAACCCACTGCGTCCACGCATACACTTTCCCATCCACACAACAATCGTGGGGTGGACCTCGCTTCGCGTTGTAAAGTATATGCGTGGACACAGTGGGTTCGGCCCCCCCCCCTCCTACGAGGGGGCTCCACTTCCGGAAGATACAACCTAACCCAAACCTATTTCCGATTTAGTTTCGCGTCCGAAGCACAGGGCGATATGGGATGGACCTCGCTTCGCGCAGAAAGTTATAAATCCATGTAAAATCATATAACCCGAGTTGAAGAATGTATCCCAGAAACGATCAAATCGTGAACTGGTTGTTGAAAGAAATATTTCCCACCAAAAACGTTTTGCATGTACGCTTTGGTTGAAGAATGTATCCCAGAAACGATCAAATCGTGAACTGGTTGTTGAAAGAAATATTTCCCACCAAAAACGTTTTGCATGTACGCTTTGGTTGAAGAATGTATCCCAGAAACGATCAAATCGTGAACTGGTTGTTGAAAGAAATATTTCCCACCAAAAACGTTTTGCATGTACGCTTTGGTTGAAGAATGTATCCCAGAAACGATCAAATCGTGAACTGGTTGTTGAAAGAAATATTTCCCACCAAAAACGTTTTGCATGTACGCTTTGGTTGAAGAATGTATCCCAGAAGCGATCAATTCGTGAACTGGTTGTCGAACGAAATATTTCCCACCAAAAACGTTTTGCATGTACGCTTTGGTTGAAGAATGTATCCCAGAAACGATCAAATCGTGAACTGGTTGTTGAAAGAAATATTTCCCACCAAAAACGTTTTGCATGTACGCTTTGGTTGAAGAATGTATCCCAGAAACGATCAAATCGTGAACTGGTTGTTGAAAGAAATATTTCCCACCAAAAACGTTTTGCATGTACGCTTTGGTTGAAGAATGTATCCCAGAAACGATCAAATCGTGAACTGGTTGTTGAAAGAAATATTTCCCACCAAAAACGTTTTGCATGTACGCTTTGGTTGAAGAATGTATCCCAGAAACGATCAAATCGTGAACTGGTTGTTGAAAGAAATATTTCCC